TTGTGATAAATAATTAATGAAATATAAACATGGAAACCTCAAGAAATGCAACAACATTATTACATATTTTACGTATAAAAAAAGAATCCTCATTTTTAAATTTTAGTATCTTCAAAAATTTGTTAATCAAGGTGAGAATTACCCTACCATCCTCAAAAAATTCACAAAAACCTGAAAAAACTTGCCTATTATTCTCAAACAAACATTCAATAAAATTTTCTTGAATTCTTTAATTTCCTTTAATTAATTCTCTTTAATGAAGTTTATTTTAAATCTACCACAAAAAGGATCACTTGCATATGAGAATAATCGAGCGGAAGTTCACACGATAATAAATAAGATAGCACAGTGGTTAACATAATTTTCACCAAACTGAGAATCGTACAATCAATCATACGATAATTAAGGGTGCATCTAGGGGATGGCGGCCAGATGTGTGCGTGAGGTAAATTAAATGCGTCGCATCCGGTTCATGTACCCCGCTCTGTACACGCGCCGCACGGCAAAGGAATAATAATTTTCTTCTCTTCCCCTGACGTTTTGTTTTCTGTCCCTGCGGCTGGCGCGACCAGACCGGAAGCTTTATTATCGCGCAGCTTGTTGCAAGTCGTGGGTGGACGCAGAGCTTAACTATAGGCGAAGATATGCGCGGTATAAATTCCGTTGCAAAGATTCATTCAACCGACTGTGGACGAAAGTCACCGACCAATAGAGAATTTTTATTTCCTTTTCTCTTAGCTCCTGAGAAGAAAGATTATGGTTCGTTAGATATTTTACATTGTCATGGATGAAGCAAGAATTAATAATTATTATAAAAATATTCGCTGATAATAATGCAGTAGTACAACAATAGTACAAACAGTAATACAACACAATAGTGTGCGATTTGATAATTAACGAGGGAGTCGACACACTTTAAAGTAGAGAAAGAAAGAAGAATATATACAGGGTGAGCCAAGATGAATGGTACAACCGAGAAAAGAGTGATTGTACATGTAAAAATAAACTAAAAATATAGAATAAAATGTGTAATAAGGAGAGCGCAAGGTCTTTGGATCACCGATTTAGATGAAACTTTGCATGCTGGTAGATTTGGTCACCCTGTTTATGAAAATTATAGAGGCAGATACTCAATAGTTGTTCAGATATTTCTAATTAAAGTTTAGGAAACTTAGAAAACTTAGTTTTAGTTCAGAGATCACATATGTAGCATTGTAGCGCGATGGTAACGTACCAAATTTGTACGCCGTAGGTTAGGGCGTAAGTATCTTTGAAGCATATGTGTAGTTCTCACTCTTAGGCTAGGCGAACGCTACTACATTCATACAGTGCCCCACCACAGGGCACATACACTTGGAATACACTGTAATCACACCTTGCAGATCAGTTTCCTCTCGAACTGTTCCTGTGGGACTGACTTTATCGAGGAAAAATACGTACTTTCGCTCTTTGCATTCATAGTAATTCACATATACACAAAATCAGAGTTTTTTAAAATTAAACAAAGTTCCGATAGCTCAAACCTAAACACGCCTAGGCCAATGCTACAATCTCACAATAAGTGCCCTTTTCTCGGCCACCCGCTAGAATTACCCCATCTTTTTCCCTTACAAAGGGAAATTTTCAATGGACGACGAGCAGTTTTGCGCGCAACGTCTTTATTCAACTATGATCGAGAGGAATGGTAGTCTAAAGTATCGCTAAGTACCAATCGTCCTCATTAACGTCATCGAGCGAGGTGGACAGTGATCGATTGCTCGGTGTGTTGTTCGGCAGTCGTGCATGCATAATCATGTGTAGCAGCAAAGGCGCATGCGCATTCGATCGATCGATAAATTATGCAGCGGATTGCTCGTGTACGTAAATCATGCGCGCACGTTGCTCTGCCCTTTGCTTTGTCGTCGTTTCTTCTCTTCTCCTTCTTCTCTTTTCCTTTCTGTTATTATCGTCTACGATGTTTCCGCCTTTTCGTCTTTGTGCATCGTCGTTCAGCTTGAGACACATCCTTGTGCGACGAACGTGTCCGCATGATCGCCGTGACTCGCATTGTATTCGCTGCGTTTTCATTGTTCCGGTCGCACGGCCCGGGAATATCGACTGCCTAATGCCGATGACCAATCAGCCGACCGTGTACTCATACACACGCTTCAGTTAGAAAATCAACGCTTGCCACAACGAGAGGCAGTCACGTTTTTAGCGCGGCGTTACGCGCAATCAGACATTGACTCATCGTTCGTTTCATGCGAACAAAGGGCGACTTCGAGCCCTTCCAGAAGAATCGTCTTTAGTGCGTGGCTGTACGTGTATTGTACGTGGGTCATTTTGTAAAGTTCCCGGAACGGAATGGAAAAGACAGCTTATAATATTTT